AATATGTATTCTCTCATTCTTCATTGTGCCTGGGTTTTCTTCTAGTAATTCTTCCACAAAATTTTTAATTCCTTTACTTGCTTCTTCCTATTCTGGAATTCCAATGATGTGCATGTTATTTCCCTTGATGATATTCCACATTATTCTTAGGTTTTCTTCTTTTTCCTTCCTTTTTGATTCTGCTTTTTACTTTAGCAAATCGGTGGTGAAAATTCTTTTATATCACTTGGATTGTTGTTTCTTGTTTTTCCAGAACTCTAATGCCTCATATGTTTTATCTGCATTATTTTGGATTGTTTTTTTAAGCTTCTGGTTTTTCTTGTAGTGTCCTGTGATTCTTCAAGTTTGTCTTTCACCCATTGAAACTATTCAATCATTGTTCTTTTAATTCTGTGTCAGAAAGTTCCATCAGACTTCCTGTCTTCAGGAAATCCATTGACACTCTGTCACATTTTGGGGGTTATATCATGCTTTAGGCTTGTGTAGTTTGTGAGGTAGCCTCCTTCTTTTGTGACATTGCTGTGGTAGTGTTTTTCATGCCTGAAACCATAGTTGGTTCTTGATCAGAAGTCACTGCTCCAGAAGAGGGTTAGGCAAGCATGCACACAGGTGCACACAGGATGGGCACACATACATACACATATGAGGGCAGAGGAGGGGTGCACATGCAGATGCACATCGGAGGGATCTAAATGGAAAATCAAGAAGCCTTGATTTTCCTTCAAGCACTGGGTCTGTCACCCCAGGTGAGCTCCAGCTTTCTCACATCTCCTGCTTGAGGTGAAAGCGTCCTACGGGTTCTAGCAGTCATGTGATTCCCCTCCCTCCAAGTGTCTCACTCAAATTCCCATTCTCCTGCTTGCTCCTGCCAGGTGGGTCTTGCCACAGCTCCCTGCTCCGCACCAAGGCTTGCTGCTCCCCACCAAAGCTCACTGCTACCCACTGAGGCTACCAAACTAATTATTTTTATAATAGTTCTCACTCAAATACCATGTGTCCTGCTTGCTCTGTGCCCATCACTCTGTCATCTCAGAGGTTTTTGTAAGTTGTATTTTCATTTTTATTTGTTTCAAGAAACTTTTTAATTTCATTCTTTATTTCTTTCATAACCCAATCATATTCTAGCAGAGAGGGATTTAATTTTCACATGGGTGGTTTTGTAAGCTTTACTGTCCTTTACTCTTGTTAATTTCTAGTTTTATGGTACTGTGATCTGAGAAGATACTTTGTATTATTTCAATGTTTTTTAATTTATTGATGCTTCATTTGTTTCCTAATAGATTATTCATTCATTGATGCCTGAGGTGGATTTCTGCTTTCTTGACATTATATGTGTCTTTTTTTTTCCTAGTAAATATTAGGCAGTTGTAACTGTATAATTACCCAGAGTATGGCAATGTTTTGGGAAGTGCCTGTATATCTGTGCTTCTTTCTTTCCCTATGACCCACAGAGCTGAGCACCTGATAGCAGTGTTCCCCCAAAGTACCCGGATGACAAACCAAAAAGCCTGTTGTTCCCTTCTAGAAGTGGCTTCTCAACCTGCCTGTCCCCAGTTGAGCTTAACGGGTCTCGCATAGTGTACCTAGACAGCAATGTTTCCCCTAAATATCCTGTGATATTGATGCTCCTGGTGCTGACTAACAAGGGCAGCAGCTGGGCAGTCTGTAGGCAGTGGGGCAGTGGGGCTCCATCTAATGGTGGTAGTAGTCTGATGTCCTGGGAAGGATTGTGCTTTAAACAGCAGCCTCTCAACCTGGCTGGTGGTGGCTCAGATGTTGGCCAGGGTGTGAGTGAGCTGAGTCTGGGCTGTAAACTTTAGCAGATGCAGCAGATGTGGTGGCTGGAAGCCCCTTTTGAGCTGGCCATGCCACACAGCCATTGGCATCTTGCAGCAGAGAGAATGTAAGGTCCCCAAAGGTCTTGGTCTCATGAGAAGCACATGCCTCACAAGAGGCATGGGTTTTGCATTCCCTGAATAATTGTTGAGGAAATGATGGGTGATATAACTGCTTCTGGTTGAGTTCTTTTGAAACTCTCTCTGGTTGCTCATCCTCTGTCTGAGAGTTGGGAGGGAAAAGATTTATTGAAATAATAACATACTGAGTTTTTGGTGAAAGCAAAAGTTTATTTACCAAATGATATACCCATTTAACAATTTTTATACAAATTGTTCTGTAGCCTTGGTTACCTTTTCCACAATGTGTGGGCATTCTCATTTCCAGACTGTTTTTATTGTTTCCGTTCATTTGGTTTCTCTGCTTCTTTTTACATTTTTATTTTTGGTTTAGGGCAAATATTGACCATTTGGTCTCAAATAACTGATTATTTTAAAGGATCACAGTTCTCATGGGTGATATTATTTACTTTATAATTTGGCTGAAAGGTCTTTAAGAGTAGCTTCAGTTCCAAGTTCAAAGTTCTCTTAAGGCAGTAGCATTGGTGTTTCCTCAAGTCTTTATTAGTCGTGTGTGTGTGTGTGTGTGTGTGTGTGTGTGTGTGTGTTTATGATTTTGAGTTTTCTACATTTTTCTCCCATTCTGTCCAAGACCTTCTATTAGACCAGGGAGCAGAAATGGTGGTAGTAGTAGCACCATTTGCCTTTCTGAGTCTCAAGCTAGATCAGGCTATGGCTTGCATGAGTGAGTAGTCTCATGGACTAGTTTCTTCTTTGAATGGTTGGTTCTCTTTAGCTCCAGATGAGTAGAAATCAATAGTTGTACCTTAGCTGGAAGTTGACTAGATTTTTTTAAAATTTATTATTCATTTCAATGAAAATTTACAGAGACTTTGGATTTCAATTCATTCATTGTTGCTCTTTTCTCCCCTCCCAACCCTCCCCCCACACCAGTACACTACCCTTTTGGAAAAGTAAAAGAAAAATTATTTCATTGCTTTACTAACCCTCCCCCAGGTCCACTCCACTATGCAGCCTTCACTCTGGACTCCTATCATGACAAAAATACCTAACCACATATCCCTTTTAAACAGTTTTCTCCCTTATCTGTTTCAGTGCAGTATACATTACTGAACCTGTCTTTCTCAGTCTCCTCCCAATCCTGATGTCAGTCCTGGTTTACAGCAGTGGCACCATGCAGTATTTGTCCTTTTGTGACTGAGATACTTCACTCAGCATAATGTTCTCCAGGGTCACCCATTTTGAATAATAGTGCATGAGTTCTTTGGTTTTCAATGCAGCATAGTATTCCATTGTGTGAATATTCCACAGCTTCTCTATCCATTCATTTGTTGATGGGCACTTAGGTTGTTTCCAACTCCTTGCTATTGTGAACAAAGCCGCAATAAACATGGGTGTGCATATATCTGCTTGGATGTCAGTTATAGTCTCTTTGGGGTATATTCCCAGTAGTGGAATTGCTGGGTCAAATGGTATCTCTATTTGCAACTTTTTGAGAAAGCGCCATACTGCCTTCCACAGTGGCTGCCCCATTTTACACTCCCACCAACAATGAATAAGGGTTTCAGTTTCTCCAGAACCTCACCAGAATTTGTTGCTTGCTGTTCTGTTAAATTTTGCTATTTTGACTGGCGTGAGATGATATCGCATAGTTGTTTTAATTTGCATCTCTCTTAGAGCTAGGGATTTTGAACATTTCTTCATGTGCTTGTTAGCCATATGATTGCCTTCTTTGGTGAAGTGTCTGTTCATATCCTGTGCCCATTTTTCTATTGGATTATTTACCTTTATCTTGTTGTGGTGCTTGAGTATTTTATTAATTCTGGATATAAGTCCCTTATCTGATAGGTCATTACCAAATACTTTTCCCCAGTCTGTGGCTTCCCTTTTTACCCTGTTGGAGAAGTTTTTGTATATGCATAGCGATTGGATTCTTAGAGGATCCCATTCATCTATTTTATCTTCTCCTGGTTGTAGGTAGCTCACAAGTTTTTAATGTAAACTTTATAAACCAATAATTGAGTTATCCCATAAGAATAAGAACAAAGTCTTTTCACCTTCCCATGGCTCTGACACAGCCCAGACCCCCATATCCCAAAATTCTTGCTTTCTTTTTAGAAAAAATAAAAATGGCCCTTTACTTAGAGACCCACTTAATCACCTAGATTGTCTGCCTTCCAGTGATGATCTTTTCTCATAACCAGAGAGCACACGGTCTCCAGTTCTTCATTTGCCCTAAAAGTGTACTAGATGCTGTCCTTTGTTGTTATGGGTTGTCTCTTAGTAGCCTTTACTTCATGATGGCTGCATGCACAAGTATTTTGAGAGCTAGAGCTCCAACGTAAAGAGCTCATATTCTGGCACTCTTTTGCGTATTATTTTGTTGTGAGTCATAGGGTTTCCACTGGATAATTTTCAGAAGTAGATTGCCTTAGTCTGGAAGCTCTGATGAAACCTGTCCATCATAGATGTCCCTGCTGGTATTGGAAATACTAGTGACATCACTTCCTGTGTCCTAGCAGTATGCAAACCACTGAAGATGACACATTGACGGATGGGTGTTTGAGAAGCCAGCTAACACATACTCCTTTTTTTCTGATTACCCAAGAACCAGTGGTATGCAATTAAGAGTGTGCTTCTTAGATCAATTGAATCACAATCTTAAAGAGAGTTCAACCAAAGTTACACCCACCAGAGAAAATCTGGATGGGGTACAAGGTGAGAGATGATATGTACAAGTACAGCAGTCTCCACTGACAGAAGACATGAGGGACATTCGGTGGCCAAGTCCGCAAAGAGTTGCACTGCTAGCCCAAAGACCACACCAATTTGAATTCACCAGCAGCTCCTCAGAGAAAGATGGGCAGTATCCTCCTGTGAGATTTATAGTCTCTAAAACCTTGCTAGTGGATTAGCTATCATTTGGTTCTAGCCTAACAGCAATGAGACATTTCATATCTTTCATATTTTTTAAAAAATACAGTTTTTCAAATTAATGAAAGAGCAAGATGAGGCATAAATAAATGTAATAACTATGCAAATAAAGCATTGTATTTACTGTTAACACTTCTTTTTCTCTCCTAGAATCTGGTCAATATTTCCAATGAGGTCATAAATGTTCACATTTTACCACCCAAAACCAAATACTTCCAGATCAAGTATGTGAAAAAAGTGAGTGTCGGCTAGCTGCCTATCCTCTCCCTGGTGCCTGCAGTCGGGTCTTATGTGTCATAGATTAGCTTGGGGCGGGTATATTGTCCACCCAGAGTCCTGTTCTTTCATTGGCCAGGGGCTTGTCCTGACCAGTCACTTGTCTTTCAGAAACACCACCTTGTCCCTGGCTTAGCCCTCACGGTAACTATTACATTTTCTCCAGATGAGTGGCGCTATTATTATGATTGCATCCAAGTTCACTGTAAGGTGAGTCTCTTAAATTCTGTGGAAGTAAAAGGGATCAAACGTATACTTCAAAGAGGGAAAAAAGAGTGATTGAATGAAAAGAACCCCTTTCTGAATGTGGCACTGGTGTTACCCTGGTAGCCAGCCTGTTGGGCATAGAGAGGCTGTGTGTAGAGGTGGGTTACAGTCAGAAGAAAGCAGCTCCTGAACACTGGGCAGAGCCAGGGACCCTGTTTATGGTACATCCCTATCTGCCTACCTTGTCCCTTTAACCTCATGTATCATGAGGGCATTGGAAGCTTTACAAGTCGCATAAATGCACTCCTGTGTCAATCTATGTTTCCTTGACTATGCAAAGGCATTTGACTTTGTGGATCACATCAATGTGTAGCTAACTCAGAGAAGAATGAGAATCCTAGACACTTGATTGTGCTTATGCAAAACCTATTCTTGGACCAGGAGGCAGTTGTCAGAACAGATCCAGGAAACATACATGGTTCAAAATTGGGAAGAGTGTACACCAAGAATGTATCCTATCTCTATACCTCTTCAATCTATAAGTGGAACAGATCATCCAGAAGGCTGGACTCTCTGAAGAGAAATGTGGCGTCAGGATTGGAGGAAGACTCAGTAACAACCTGCATTATGTAGATGGTACAATCTTGCTTGCTGAAACTGAGGAGAACTTGAAGTGCCTAATGCAGAAGGTCAAGAAGCCTTCAATATGGATTAAAGTGCAGCCTCTGGAAAACAAAGATTCTTACCTCTCAACCAATTGGCAGCATCATGATAGCCGGTGAAGAGATTGAAATTCTTAACAACTTCTGTTTGCTTGGTACCAGCAGCCACAAAATCAAATGACAAATTGCATTGGCAAAGTCTGCTGTCAGGGATCTCTCCAGAGTGTTGAAGAGCAGTGATGTCAGTCTGGAGACTAAGGTGTGCCTGATCCAGTCTGTGATCTTTATAATCACGTGCTACGCATCAGAAAGTTGAGCAGTGACTATGGATGATAGAAGGAGAATTTATGCCTTTGAGCTGTGGTACTGGAGCCGAATATACCATGGACTGCTCAGAGAACAAACAGGTTAATCTTTGAGAGGGTGAAACCAGGTTGCTCCTTGGAGGCAAGGATTCTGAAGCTTTGTCTCACATACTTTGGACATGTTGCAAGGAGGGACCAGTACTTGGAGAGGGACATCATGCTTGGAAGGGTGGAGGGACAACACAAGAGAGGAATCCCTGGGTGAGATGGATTGACTCAGTGACTGGGGTAGTAGGGGTAGGTTTATCAGAGACAGTGAGGTTGGCTTAGGATAGATAAGGATTCAGAGCTGTTATACATAGGGTCACTATGAGTTACAAGTGACTCAGTGGCACATAACAACAATAATATCTCAAAATTATGTAGTACTTTTAGCATGCTAAATCATCTGCTTTATTTCTAATAAACCCCTCTTAGGGTAGGTATTCTCATTTTATCATAGAAGAAATGAGGCTAGAGAGGTTGAAAAAAATCATACATGTGACTACTAGAGGCAGGCCTTTGAACTTCTTGCCAGTTCATATTTGAATATGTGGATCAGATGACTCTGTGCTGATTTCTCTATGTTGGGTCAGTGAAGAGTGTGATTCTGTAAGAGTCTCTGAGACAGAAGCAGAAATGGAACAGTCTTTGCTATGGTGTAAGCAATTTGCACTTTGCTACTAATCAAAACATTGAGGGTTCTAGTTCCACACAAGGTGCCTCAGAAGAAAGGCCTGGAGATCTGCTTCAAAGAAATCAGCCACTTAGTGCCTTGGGAGCTTGGCTATGCTCTGACTTACACAGGGTCAGCATACCTTAGAGCTGCCACAGCTGTAACAGCTGTTCACCATTGTCATCAGCTTCTCTGGACACTGAATGTCATCCCAAAGATTCCCACCTTCAAATCTTGGAGCATAGCATGCAGGGCAGAAGGGCAGAGCCAGGTAGTATAGCAGGGACTGACAAGAAGCTGCCTTGCAAACCAGAAGGCACACAGTTCAAGACTACCAGCTGCTCCATGGGAGAAAGGATGGGCAGTCTCCTCCCATACAATTAACTGCTTCTGAAAATCCACTGGAGGGTCAACTATGAGTCAATTCTGACTCAACACCACCACCACAACAACATACTTATATATAATCATTTATCTTAAGGAAGTAATTTTAATTCCAGAAAATAAAAGAAGAAATAAATGATCTACAGATGTATATTTTTAAAAATTTAATCTTAAGTATGGTAGATTTGATAGTTTCCTGTCCATTTTAGGGAGATGAAACCTTGCTTGTACCCATCCATGCCTACCCTGTCATGAATACACTGGATTTCCCCTCATTTATCAGTCTCTCAAATGTTCTGCTTGGGGAAAGGTAAGCTACCAAACATCAACTTCCAAAATATTACAGAATGTAAAAGCTAAGAAACATTCACACATGTTGTTCCCAATGGAAGATTATCCTTTCAGTTGACTTAGACTGGATCTGTGGTTGCAAAGGGTAGACAAAATAAAAACAAAAAACTCCAAAATCTCATAAGTGATAAAGAGAGTTTATTGGGTAGTTAGCATGTCAGGATGTATCTTCAGTCAGGTATGGTTGCATCTAGGAGTTAGATAAGATTGAAGGAGTTTGACTTTGTTCTTCTTGTCTCAGCTCTGCTGCCCTGTGCAAGAAACCTTCTCTAGAGGTCACGTGAAATGAGACAGCCCTCATGGGACAAGAGAGTTGTCAGAAACTCCTAAATCCAGCTAACAGTGAGATGAGGGAAAGGCCAAAAGTTTGAGACTTGAGTCTTGGTGAACCAGTTTTGATCACCTGTCTATCCTTGGCCAGACTACTTTTAGAAAATGGAGAAAATGGGTGAAGGGGAGGCAAAGAGCCGAATGCACTGTATAATCCAAATAGTCCCACCTTTTGGGAAAATGATTAGTGATTTAAATTAGAATGTATGCTGTATCTTACTCTTTCATAATTTTTTTATTAAATATGTATGACCAGACTTGTGAAACTTATACTTAGTTTAAGAAATTGTTTTCTGAACAGAACAGGAGAACACTGCATGGCTTAAAATCAGGAAATGTGTGTGTCAGTGTTGTATTTTTTCTCCATACAAGCTCAGTCTGTATGCTGAGCAACTAAAGAAGTTGAACTTTATGGATTGATATAGTGACTGTAATAGTGGGCTCAAGTATACCAGAGACTGTGATGATGGCACATCACAGAATGCCTATGAGTCTCAATTAACTCCACAGCACCTGACAACAGCAGGCATAATGCTCCGAGATATGCATGTGTGTATCATCATGCCGATTGATATCATTGAGTTACTCTGAACTGATTAAGTAAAGGCACCATTCCAAGTTCTCAATCCTGACACTACACTTTGCAAAACACAGTATTTCTAATATTGACTTGTATTTAAGTCATCAGGTATCTTAAGGAAATAAGTAATGATAATGTTAGAAAGTGAGAGAAACAAATCTACAAATAGATCTTTTAAAAATTTATTTGACTTTCAGTACTGAAAGTCTTAGTAGATAGACTGAAAAGTCTCATTATCATAGACTGTGCTCAACCCCAAAGGCATGTGGTTTGAAGTTACCAGCTGCTCCATGGGAGAAAGATGGGAAATTTCCTTCTGTGCTATATACTGCCTCTGAAAACCTGCTGGAGGGTCCGCTATGAGTCAGTTCAAACTTGATAGCACGTAACATGGTAGACTATTTCCCATTTCTCAGAGTCCTTGACTGTGGAGTGAACACCAAATAAATAATTATCAGTAGTAGGGGAGAGGGAAGGAACACCAGTAGGCCTGGATTCAGCCCTAGGCCTATTCTGATTACTTCTGAGATCTCCATTGATTGATCCCATGATTATGACTCCCTGGTTCTGAAGGTTTCATAGTCTAATAAACTATGCCATCAATTATTTTGCTAAATGACACACTATAGGCAAATATAGGCTCCCATGCAAGTCTTCAGTATGGATGAAGCTCAACATTAAGAAAACAAAGATTCTCACCACTGGGTCATTTGGTAGCATCATGATAGATGTTGAAGAGTTTGAGATTTTTAACAGTTTTAGTTTGCTTGGCTCTACTATCAACACTCTTGGTACCAGCAGCCAGAAAATTAAGAGATGAATTACATTGGGAAAGTCTGCTGTCAAAGACCTCTCCAAAGTACTGAGGAGCAATGATGTCAGTCTGGAGACTAAGGTGCATCTGATACAGGCCATGGCCTTTGTGATTACTTGCTATGCATCAGAAAGCTGGACAATGACTAAGGATGATAAAAGGAAAATTGATGCCTTTGAGCTGTGGTGCTGGAGAAGAGTATGGAACATACTATGGACTACTAGGAGAATAAACAAGTTTGTCCTGGAGAGGGTGAAGCCAGGCTGCTCCTTGGAGGCAAAAATTCTGAAGCTTTGTCTGACATACTTTGGACATACTGCAAGGCAAGATCAATCCTTGAGAAGAACGTCATGCTTGGGAGGGTAGAGGAACAGTGCAGGAGAGGAAGACCCTCAAAAAGATGGATTAAGCCAAGGTGGATTAAGCCAATGACTGGTATAATGGGGATAGGTGTGTTGGAGACAGTAAGATTGGCACAGGACAGAGCATAATTTAAGGCTGTTGTACTTAGGGTTGTTATGAGTCACAGGTGACTTGATGGCACATAACAACAACAACATGCAAGTCCTGAGATTGTTATTGTTAGAAGCTTTTTAGTCCAGTATGACCAATAGTGACCCTATGAACAACAGATCTGAACCCTATCCTATCCTGTGCCATTCTCACATTTCCTAACACACTAGAGCCCATTGTGGCAGTCACCATGTCAATCAACCTAATTGAAAGTCTTCCTCTCTTTTGCTGACTCTCCACCTTTCCAAGCATGATGTCCTTTTCCATGGAGTAGCAAGCATCTCCTAGCAACATGCCCAAAGTATGTGAGATGAACCTTCAACATCTTTGCCTCCATGGAGTACTCAGACTGTACTTTCTCTAAGACATAGTTGTTCTTTGGCAGTTCATATGATGGATATTCAATACTCTTCTCCAACACCACAACTTAAAAACATCAGCTCTTTTTCTGCCTTCTTATTCATTGTCCAGCAATGAATGAGATGCACATTAGTCCTCACTGTTCTCCAATTATTTGGAGAGGTCCTGGACTGCAGACTTTCCCAGTGATTTCCTGATTTTCTGCCTGCTGATACAAAAGATGTTGTGTGTGGATCCAAATAAGATGAAATTGTTGATAACTTCAATCCATCTATCATGGTGTTACCTATTGGTCCAGGGTTAAGAATTTTTGTTTTCTTGATGTTGAGCTGCAGTCCATATTGAAGGCTGTATTCTCTGATCTTCAACAAGTGCTTCAAGTTCTCACTTTCAGCAAGCGAGGTTGTGTCATCTGCATAACACAGATTAATGATCTTGATGCCACTTCCTTCTTCATAGATTCCAGCTTCTCGAATAATCTGCTCAGCATACATATTGAGTAGGAATGGATAGAAGATATAACTCTCTTAATTTTAAACTGTGTAGTATTCCCTTGTTCATTCACACAATAGCTTCTTGATCTAGGTATAGGTTTCACATGAGCACAACTGAGTGTTCTGGGATTTCCCTTCTTCTGAATATTAGCCATAATTACAGTCCACACACAAATGCCTTTGCATTGTCAGTAAAGCACAAATAGACATTCTTCTGGTATTCTTTGCTTTTAGACAGGATTTAACTCTACATCAACAATGGTATCTTTGGTACCACCACCTCTTCTAAATCCTGCTTGAACTTCTAGAAGCTGCCTAACAAAATATTGTTCTAGCCATTTTTTTCCATGATCTCCAGCAGTATTTTGCTTGCAAGAGATGTTAGTGATACTGTTCCAAAGTTTCCACATTCTGTTGGATCAACTTTATTGGGTATTGGAACAAACATAGATCTCTTCCAATCAGTTGGCTGGACAGCTATCCTCCAAATTTTCTGACATAGTCTGATTGAATGTATCCAAGGCTGCATCTGTTAGTGGAAGCATGTCAATCGTTATCCCATTAATTCCTGAAGTCTTATTTTTTACCAATGCTTTCAGTGCAGCTTCAGCTTCCTCCTTCATTACCATTGGCTCCTGCTCATATGGGACTTCCTGAAATTTTTCAGGGTCAGTCAATTCTTTTTGGTATAGTGACTCTGTGTATTCCCTCCATCTTTTAATGCTTCTTGGGTCATGCAATATATTGCCAATAGCATCTTTCAATATTAGAACTTGAAGCTTAAATTTGTTTTTCATTTTACTCAACTTGAAAAATGCAGAGCAAAATAAAAGTGTCCTTTTTTATTCTCCAATTCCAGCTCTCTGCACATTATGTTATAATAATTTGCTTAAATTTTTAGTAAAAACAAGGCCAGGAGTAGATAGTGGAACAGACCATATGCAAGTTCAAATTGAGGCTGAAGAAAATTAAAACAAGTCTATGAGAACCAAAATATGATCTTCAGTCTATTCTACCTGAACTTCAAATTCATTTTAAGAATAGATTGGAAACATTGAACACCAATGATTGAAGACCAGATGAGTTATAGAAATAAAGAGTATCACTCATGAAGAGAGTAAAGGGTCCTTACAAAGACAGACGAGAAAGAAAAAAACTGAAATAGATGTTAGAAAAGACTCTGAAAATGGCACTGGAGAGTCAAGAAGCCAAAATAAAGGGGAAACAACCTGAAGTAAAAGAGTTCAACAGAGGATTTCAAAGGGAATCTCAAGAAGACAAAGCAAAGTCTTGAAGAGGAAGCACTTAACTCTAATTGGAGTAAGAATGTCTTAATTCATATATGATGTGACAACTGGGTTCTACTACAAGGACATAAGAGAGTGGTGTGGATGAGCTTCTAGATAGGGAGATAACGTGCGACAGGAAAGCAAGAACTACATCTGGTAGGTGATGAAGAGCCACTGAAGGACTTAAATTAATCCTGTAAATAGTATTTGGTGCTTTTTGAGTGTGCCTTAACATGGGTGAACAGGAGTTCAATGAGCTTGTTGGCAGCATTAGAAAGGAGTATAACTCACCAATGACTGGGTAAATAGAATGAGAAAAGGTAGCAGGTTTATAAATTTCCATATGAGCTTTAGGATCCTTCTTTTATCACTGCCTGCTATAGTTGCAGAAGTCCTGATGGCTTAGTGATAAGAAGTTGTGCTGTCAACCCATAGGCAGGTGGTTTGAATTCACCAGCAGCTCCGTGGGAGAAAGATGGATACTGTCCTCCTGTGTGATTTACTGCCTCTGAAAATCCACCGGACCTAAATATTAGTGATCTGAACCCACACAGCAGCACCACAAAAGAAAGCTTAACA